GTTTTGGTATCAGGGTAATGGTTGCTTCCAGGAATGAATTTGGGAGTATTGCTTTCCTTCAACTTCATTAAAGGGTTTGAGAAGTATCAGCTTAAAGTCTTCTCTACATTTCTTTCTTTTCTTTCCTTTTCTTTTGTACCAGGGATTTAACTCAGGACCTTGTGCTTGCAAGGTAGGCGCAGTGCCACTAAGCTAAATACCGGCCCTTCTCTACATTTCTTGTAGAATCTGTTAGGGCCTGGGCTTTTCTTTGTTGGTAGGTTTTTAATTACAGCTTTAATTTCATCAACTGATATTGGTTTATTTAGAATTTTTATTTTTTTATTTTTTTATTTTTTTGGTACCGGGGATTGAACTCGGGTCCTTGTGCTTGCAAGGCAGGCGGCAGAAACACTGAGCTAAATCCCCAGCCCTTTATTTCTTTTTTATTCAACTTTGTTAATTCATATGTATCTTGGAATCTGTCCATTTATTTCTTTTTCTTTTTCTTTTTTTTTGGGTACACGGTATTGAATTCAGGACCTTGTGCTTACACTGAGGTAACTTATTATTAGAACTTATTAGAACACAGGTTCTTGAAGCAGGTATTGATGATCTGGATTTCTGCAGGATCTGTTGTGATTTCACCCTTTTCATTGTTAACTGCATGGATTTGAGACTTTCCTCTTTTTACATAAGGTTGGCTAAGGGTTTGTCAATTTTATGTAATCTTTCAAAGAACCAGAATCTTCGATTCACTAATTCTTTGTATTGTTTTCTTAGTCGCTATTGCATTAAATTCTATTCTGATCTTTATAATTTCCTCCTTCATATGAGGTTTGGGCTTGACATGTTCTTCTTTTTCTAAAAGCTTGAGGTTTACCATTAGGCTATTTGAGTGCCCTTTGTTTTTCTGATATGGGAATTCACTGCTATCAATTTCCTTCATAGGATTGTTTCATTGCGTCCCATAAGTTCTTGTTTTTTTTTTTTTTTTTTACCAGGGATTGAACTCGGGACCTTGTGCTTGCAATGCAGGCAGCAGAACCACTGAGCTAAATCCTGGCCCTTCTTGTATGTTGTACTGGCATTACTATTAAGTTGTAGAAACTGATTTCTTTAATTTCATCTGTGACACATTGCTTGTTCAGGGGGATGTTATTTAATTTCCATAGTTTTTGTGGTTTCTTTTGCCACTGATTTCCAATTTCAATGCACTATGGTCTGATAACATGCATCAGATAATTTCAGTTCCTTTGCATTTACTTAAGCATGTTCTATGAGTTAGTATGTGGTCTATTTAGGAGAACATCCCATGTGCTGCTAAGAATAATGTGTATTCTGGTGTTGTGGGGTGAAACACTCAGTTTATATCTAGTAAGTCTATTTGTTAAAAAGTTTGGTTAATTTGATATTTCACAGTTTTCGTGCATATAGATTTATGATTACTATCTCTTTCTATTGCATTGTTACCTTTACAAGGATGTAGTAATCTTCTTTATCTCTCTTAATCAGTCTTGGCTAAAAATCCATTTTGTCTGCAACCAGAATAGCCAATCCTGCTTTTTTCCAGGTTCCTGTTGCAGGAAGAATTGTTTTCCATCCTTTGACTTTCAATCTATGAATTACTTTTTGAGTTAAATGTATTTCTTATATGTAGCATACTATTGCATCTTGCTTCTTGATCCATTCTGCCAGTTTGTTTCTTTTGATTGGTGAATTGAAACCATTAATATTGATAGTTATAAATGATACATATTGAGTTTTTCTTGTCATGTTATTTTCCTGTTGTTGGTTCCCTTTTTTACCCCTCTTCTTACTTGGTAGCCTTGCCTGGTGGATTCATTCTGTTTATGGAGTTGTAGTCCTTGTTATCTCTTTCTAGAACATTTCTGAGTGATGGGTGGTTATGAATTTCCTCAGGTGTTCTTTGTCATGGAAGTATCTTATTTCCCCATCAATTTTCACAGATAGTTTTGTGGGGTACATCAATCTGGGGTGGACTTTGTTTTCCTTTAGGGCTTGAAATACTTCATTCCAAACTCTTCTTGACTTGAAGGTTTGTGTTGAGAAGTCTTCTGTGATTCTGATGGGTTTTCATTTATAGGTGATTTTTTTTCTTTTCTCTAACAGCTTTTAATATTCAGTTCTTATCTTGAATTTCTGGAGTCTTCACTATTATATGCCTTGATGTAGATTTTGTTTAATCATGGCTAACTGGAGTTCTATATGCCTTACTTATCTGTATGTCAAATTCTTTTTCTCTGCTTGCTAAGTTTTCTGCCACTACTTCTGTGAACAGCTTTTTTTGGGTCTTTTGTGCTATCTCCTGCTTTTTCATGGACTCCCATCAATCTTACATTATTCTTTGCATCGTCTAGTAGCTGTTGGATTGATCACTCATGGTCCCTTGCTATTTTAAATAAATCTTTCTTTTCATGATCTCTTACTGAAATCCTGTCTTCTATATTTGATATCCTGTCCTCACACTGACTCATTCTTCTGCAAATACCTTCAATGGAGGTTTTTTTGGTACCAGGGATTGAACTTGGGTCCTTGTGCTTGCAAGGCAGGTGGTGGAACCACTGAGCTATATCCCCGGCCTACCTTCAATGGAGGTTTTTTTGGTACCAGGGATTGAACTTGGGTCCTTGTGCTTGCAAGGCAGGTGGTGGAACCACTGAGCTATATCCCCGGCCTACCTTCAATGGAGTTTTAAATCTCCTGAATATCTGTTTGAGTCTGTTTCATGGATTACATTTCTTTCCTTTGTTGGGTGTTCTTGGTTTCCATCACTTTCCTATGCTCCTCTATTTTTTATTTTTTAATCTGTATTTGCTCTAGAGTCATGAAGCATGTCTTTTACTGTGGCCACTATTTCTGTAGTTAACTGAAAATTATTTCTGATTTGATTGTTTTCTAGAACCTCACTCATATGCTTTGTTACTTCTGCTGTTACCACTTCAGAGAGTACAAGTGGGTGGTTTTCAACTTGCTCCATTTCACTGCCTCCCAGGTTTACCTTTGGTGAGCTGGAAATCTGGGGTTGCATCTTAAGTGTCTTCTCATTTTCTAAATTAAAAAAATTTAATCCTTGGGTTGACGCTTATAAATTTCTTATGGTGAGTAGCTTTATTACTAGCTTTTAGAACCTTCAGGAAATAACTATTTCTTGAAGATGTCTTGCAGGTGTGGCTAGCTTTTCGGTTTTGAGTGTTTTGCAAGATCCTACCTCTTCAATTTATTGGTGATTAGAAGTTGCTGTCTACTTGGACCAACCCCCAGTTCTTTGGCACTGGACTATAGAAGTGTTTATGATCCTTAGGCATCTTAGTCCTGGCATAGCAGGAAGAACAACTGATTAGAATGATTATGTCACCTTGGATAAAGGAGTAAAATCAGCAATAACAGTATCATCAAACCCAGTTGAGAAAATGACAAACTGTGGGAGCTGTTAATTTGCCACCTTTAACCATATGAACTAGATTTATGCTTATATAACAAATTCTAAAATAAACTAGAAAACTGTGTGCAGTAAATAAATCCTCAGTATGGTGATTTTACCCTGAGGGGAGAAAATTTAGAAGGGGTTATGGGGGAAAATAGAGAAATGAAAAAGGAGGAAGAAATTAGAAGAAAATATAGAAATAAAAGAGGAGGAAGAAATTAGAAGCAAGCAAGAAATTAGAAATTAGAAGATTATGTAAACTTTGGGAAAGTGGTGATGAAGACAGGAAGGAAAGAGAGAAGGAAGAAATAAAAACAAGAGCAAAACAGAACATCAACAGAAACCTAGAAACTACTTTCACACTCATAAAAACAAGAACAAATAAGAAAAAACAAAACAAAAACAAAGAGAAGAAAAATAGAAAATAAAAAAAAATGTTCACTATAAGGTGTATTTCTGCTCTCACTGATAGAAAAGTGGTCAGACAGAGTCTAGATCCATGTCGATTAATCACAGCAGGTCAGCGGTAGCTTTATAGCAGGGTAGTGGATAATCTCAGTAAGCCTACGCTTTTAGTTCTACTGAAGTTCAGGCTGGTATCCAGCTGTGAGAATGGAACCAGATTTGTTCAGCCTGTAACACTCTTATGTGTCTTCTGCTGGCTTAAACTCAACTTCTTAGCCTTCTGCTGACTTCAACTCAGTAGTTTCACCCCAACACTGAGAGCCACTAGATCAAGCCAGCAGATTCTCTGAGTTCTGAGTTCAATTGGCCCTCTTCAAGATGGCTATCAGTCCTCTTCTAGGGAATGTCTGAACCTGAATAACTCAGCAGCCACTGCAGTCCACAGAGTCTACTGCTCTGTTCCACTGGTGCATTTCTCTGCAGAGGCCTCGGCTCACCAGCAGTCACTGTGCATCTACAGGTTTAAGGCACTCCTCTCAAGTAGTGAGTCAGGGTTCAGGGAGAAAGCAGCACTTGACACCTCCTTCTGTATTGATGTCTCACTCTTTGCTCTCTTCATGGGCTTCAATTCTCACTTCAGATCCTTCCCCTCTTTCTCTTCCTCACATTGGTATATTCTAGCATTTGGACACTAAATCTCAGAGAGGCTGTTTCTCTGTTGCTCATCACTTACCATCTTGCCTAGAACTTCTCACTTCCTTCCAAGTGAGACTAAGATACAGGAAGTGAGAACAGGTGAATGATGAATACAATTACTGTGAGGATGTGTTGTCCTGTGCTGTAGGTTTGCCTTGATTGGGCCTAGGCTTTGTTACTGACATACGGGCTCGAGGAGAATAAATCACTTGACACCTGGATCTCAGTGGAAGAGGGGTTGGATGAACTCTGAAGTATCTTGTTAAGTCAAGTTTATGATATCAAAAACAAAACTGAACTCTGGAAGGAGCATGTGGTCTCCAAAAATGAGAAATGTGGTACATATCTCAGTATAGAACACCAATGACAAAGTAAGGACAAAGAGGAATGGGGCTAAGTAATGACCTGCATTCCTATGAAATGACCCAAAAATAGGCAAAAGTGAAGAGATATTCCAAAAGTTGAGTCTTACCTTCTGGTGACAGCAAAGCAGAGTGTGCACATCCCATGGAGGAGTCCTGCAGCATGCTGCAAAAACGTGGCCATCTTGGGGTTCTCATCCACCGGGCCTTGTACCGAAAGGAAGCAGCCACACAGCTTGTCAATTAGGCCCATGCTCACCACATAGCTGGAAGCAGAGGAGAAATGTGTGTTACTGATCTACATGGGCTATAGCATCTCCATATCCACAATGAATCATACCATACCCAGGCTTGGAGTCCTCCAGCAAGCAGACACCACACAGGTTTAAGAACAGCATCTCAAATACCAATTTCCTTAGCTTTAGTCCTGAATAATCACTATGTCTGGAGTTTTTCTCTCTTCCCATTTTTGGTTATTCTGATATTATCTTTCAAGAAAAATAAATGAAAATGATCATCCTTCGTGGTCTATCCCATTTTTGGTTATTCTGATATTATCTTTCAAGAAAAATAAATGAAAATGATCATCCTTCGTGGTCTAAAGAATCTGACAGTAAGTGAAACAATTTATACAGTTACCTCTACATTCTTACAATGTAATACTTCTTATAGTAGGGAGCCAAATTTGCCAGAATGCAGAGATTTAGATGTGTTGTACTACCCAGATGCTCTTCTTGCAACTCAAACCTCTAAAGCCAACTGTGGGTTCCATTTTGAAAAACTCCATCTCCACTAAGAGTGAGCATAACAAACAGTGAGAATCTAATTGCCTTATGTCATGAAAAGTACCAGTCTTGAGGGTTGACAATACCATTTAAGAAGTCACTTTCATCTTTTTGGTCCAATAAAATTTTCTAGAGCTTTGTATTAAGCCTAACTGAAAATAGTAGCTCTTTTATTGGTCTACAAAGCAGCAGTCATTGAAAGATATTTTCAGACTACAAATGACTTTGCAGAAATACTAAGCTCAGTTGAGAGATTCTGTACAGATTTATTGTCTGCATTTACATGCATGAAAAGGGAAGGACTGAAATAGAGCAGTTCTAAAAACCAGCACGTTACATGTACATTTCAGCAAAATGTACAAATGAGTCAATATTTCTGTTTATAAATGCATTATAATCCCCATCACTATTTAGCAACACATCTTTGTGCAACAGGAAAAAGGATACAATGAATAATTCATGCTTAGAGGCTTCTCCAAATTCACTTTGTCTTTTTTTTTTTTGTTTTTTGAAACAGGGTCTCACTATGTAGTTGAGACTGACCTGGAACTCACTTTGTAGCCCAGGCTAGTCTCAAACTCACAGCGATCCTCCTGCCTGAGCCTCCTGAGTGCTGGGATTACAGGCATGCACCACCACACCCAGCCAAACACACTTTTTAAAGGCTACAAAATAATGCCTTTATTCCCCTTTCATGTTAGGAAATGTATCTGCCTGGGCTACTGAGCATCTTGTACAGTATAAAATGATGCCCACCAGCTCTGTTCTCAGGAAATAGACTGGTACACATGGAGGATCTTAATATAATCTATCTGACTTATTAGAATCATACTTTCAAAACTAGTTTTTATACTACATAGAACTTTTCAATTTAGAAAGTGTTTTACATGAATCATTCCAAGGGGTTAACCTGAGGACAACATAAGGGAGCCGACTGTGAAAGCTTTGGTTTTTGTCTGCCTAGCATATTCTCCTTTCCTGTCTTGTTGGTCCTTGGGGATTGTTAAACATGGAGTCTTGAAATCAGGAGTGAGCATGTGGTGCATGACAGCCAGGATGGGGACATGACCTGACAAAGACCACTCTGAATCTACTGTAAGATTAACGCCTGACTACAGCAGGAACTTCTTTCCACTGGGGATATCCAAATGGAAATAAAAAAGTCTGGTAGTAGTTGTTGATCAGCTTATTTGTTACATAGAGAATATCTGCTGAAAAAAAATGAATGCAACACCATTTATTAAAGAGGCTATCTTTCCTCCATTGAGGATGGTGAGCTCCTTTGTCAAAGATGAGGTAGCTGAGTACATCTGCATTTGTTTTTGTGTCTTCCAGTCTGTTCCATTGATCCTCAGGCCTATTTCTTTGCCAGTACCATGCTGTTTTTATCACAGTGGCTTTGTAGTATAGTTTCAAATTGGGAATTGTTACACCTGGTGCCATGTGACTGTTGCCTATAATGGCTTTTGCTATTCTAGGTCTCTTGTGGTTCCAAATGAATTTTTGGATT